ACTCCCTTCATAATTGTAGAGCTGAAGAATACATACAAGATCATTCAGTCTAACATTGTATTTTACATTTGAAAAAAAAAAATCCTAAACCTAGAAAAGCAACCGAATGGTCTAAGCTCATACCAGGAGCTTGCGACAGATCAGACTTCAGCTACGGTCTCTGAACCTCCAGCTCAGTACCTTTCTGTCACTAACTCCCTCCCTCAACTCAGTGTTTTCCAGCCTTTCCTTCATGATCACATACTGTCCCTCCAGCTCCCAAGGGAGTCTCTTGAGATATTTTTCCCCAAGAAGTTAAAATGCTGCACATCTGTTTGCACATTGCATATACATCTGTGCTATGTATATTTTTAAAAGTCAGACAGATGTGATTTTTTGCCTCCCAAGAATCAATTTTCACACACACCCCCAGGAGAGGGGGTGGGTGATGCTGCTCCTTCTGACAGTGCATGCTCTCATTACTAAAATGCTCATAGCTGGTAGCTCATATTCCAACACTGGGTTCTATGCCATTCTGTGTTATCATAGTGTAAGCTGGCTGCGGCTGCCATCATGCAGTGGTTAGCACACAGGCCCCACATACCAGGAGTAGCGAGTTCGAGCCTCACCTGGGCCTGATAAACAAAAAACCCCCAAAACTCAAAGAAACAAAGAATAATAGCGTATAGTGTGCATATGTATATAACAGGTGTATATAGCCCGTGACGAAGGCTGAGGTTGATTAAGCTTAGGGTCCATGATCACATATATATTTCATAAAAGTGTAATTACATCTGAACACATCTGTCATGATTTATATTTATAAGTTATAGTAGGAAACAAGTCAGCTTGTTAAAATGTCCCCTTCTCAACAAAGCCACTGTGTCCTCTTTGAAATTACAACCCATCCAAATTCCATCCTAACCCCCATCCCATAACTAAAAACCCTAACCCTACTTTTCCCTCTTTTTAAGTAATATTTATTACCATCTAATAAGATATGTACATCGCTTATTCATCATATCTAGAATTTATTTTCTCTCTTTTCCTACTAGAATATAAACCTTTATGGGCACAGATCTTTCTCCACATTTTTATCATTGTCTTAAGCACCTTGTCCAGTGCCTGGTCGTTTTCTTTCTGTATTATCTATATAAATGTTGTCTGTCTACCATATTGTACTATGCTGGAAACCCCTGAAGGGATGCATTTGGAGCCAATGTCTGGTTTTGTTCTGCATGTACAAAAACTTAGTTTGGTTAGTTTAGAGTTTACCAACTATTGCAGAACTGCGTCACTTTAAACTCAAACAACTTCAGTTTAGAAACTAAGCCAGGTGCACTGGTGGGTGCTTGGGAGGATAAGGTGACAGGATCACTTGAGCCCAGGAGTTTGACACCAGCCTGGGCAATGTAATGAGATAATCTATCTTTAAAAAAAAAAATGGTTTCTCCACTATTCAGCCATAAAAAAAGATGGAAACTTGGACGGCACCTGTGGCTCAGTGAGTAGGGCGCCAAACCCATATACCAAGGGTGGCCAGCCCCGGTCAAACGGCAATAAAAAAAATAGCTGGGCATTGTGGCAGGTGCCTGTAGTCCCAGCTACCCAGGAGGCTGAGACTAAAGAATCACCTAAGCCCAGGAGTTGGAGGTTGCTGTGAGCTGTGACGCTACCGCACTCTACTGAAGGCGACAAAGTGAGACTCTATCTCTAAAAAAAAAAAAAGATGGAAACTTTACATCTTCTGTATTAACCTGAATGGAGCTGAAGAACATTCTCCTTAGTGAAGTATCCCTACTTACTAAGTAGTGATATCTATACAGGATGGGTGGCACCCCCAGTGGCAGTGCCCCAGTCAGCGCAGCGGGACCTAAGGGAAGGACCTGCCATCTCCCCCCTTGGGGGTGTTGGTGCAAGCCAGGCAGAGGAACTATGGGGTTGGAGGGCGGAGGGTGGGTGGGGTGGGGGTGGGGGCCTGCAGGAGGCTGCAGTGGCCAGAGTGCTGGACAACTGCAGGGGGAACACCTCCAGTTTGTCAGCTCAGGGAGCCAAGTGGGGTCTCCCTCCTCTTGCACTTGCAGCAGGACCTGGAATCCCCCATTTCCTGGGCCTGGTCAATTTCATGTATGTTTCCTAGGCCTGGATAATTTAATGAATGGACTGTACCCATTCATTCATGCGCTCATTCACCTTGCCCTTAGCAAGGAACTGTATCCATTCATTATCGTTCTTTCACTTTGCCCCTTCCAGAAGGGTCTGTACCCATTCATTCATACACTCATTCATCTTACCCCAGTAGAAGAGACTGTATCCACTCATTCCTTACCAAGTACTGGCCAAATGTAAGTACAAAGGACTCATGCAACACCCCTAGATAAAGAACCCAGGCAGAGAGGAAATTTTCTGACATAAGTCTTTCCCTCTGCCAGGTGCTTTGGTGCTTTTTCTGTATTCTTTTCTGTAAAATAAATCCTGTCTTGCCACTTATCTGTGGTCCGTGGAGTCATTCTTCAAATCCTCGAGACCAAGGACCTACTGAGGAAGAAATTCCGATATCAATATGGAATGGAAAAGAAAGTATCTAATAGATAAACAACTACAGACCCAAACAAAGAAAAACACAATTAAATTCAAGTTGGGGGGGAGGGCAGAGGAGGGACAGGGGAGGAGGGAGGAGGATTGGTAAACCGTCACCTAATGCACGCAAGGTAAGGGTATTCAGCACACCCCCTGGGTGCTCCCATTACGTTATGGGAGTTCAGACCAACCCATTACTCTCTACAACACCACTGTAGGTGTAGACAGGCCAGGCAGAGGAATCTGTACTATGCCCATAGAGCTGGCAGCATCCTGACCACCAGTGCTGATAGGGAGAGATCATCAACAATGCCATTATGAAGCTTTCAGCATACGTCACACCAGTTATATAACCCAGTTACCATCGAAGGCCCCCACAATCCTTACACACTTGGGTAACTGTGCCTAA